TATAATTATTAATCCATTAATCCAAAAACTCTCACCAGATCAGCCACACCATACTGATGTTCAGTCCAGCAGAAAGGACTGAGCTTTTCTCATGTTGATGTTAGAAGGATTTTTAGCTGCAAATGCTTCCTTTACTGCAAAAGATCGAGTGTTCTCTAAAGACAAGCTGTTATGGCTTTTAGACAATGAAATGTTTCCTGTCTTATTTCAAATGAATTAATATAGTTATTTAACTGCAAATTTTTTAATTCTTTACATGTCATAAGGACACTACTCTCTTCATGGACTGTAAATAGGTCCATGAAGTAAATATTTACCTGCAAGTAAATATTGCAGGTAAGTGTTTCCGAGTGACATTTAGGGAGCTACTATATTCCTAATATTGTATAAAAAAGTCTTAAGTGGTTAAATTAAAAAAACCTGCAGAATGAGAATTTTTTTATCTGATTAATCATTAAAATCATCAACAATTAGAATAATTGTTAGCTGCAGCCCTAGTCCCAAGCACAGCGAATCTATAGCAGAATGAGTGAAGAAGTTGATATAAATGGTCCAATCAGAAGTGAGCTGGATCAACCTTTCTAAACTTCTTGCCTTTCAGCCGCAGCAGCTGACCCTGCTGTGCAGTCAGCATGTGTGTGCTCTCACCTGGATCTCTGTGTCGTCAGAGGAGCTGAGCGGCAGGAGGCGTGCAGTGAGGAGAGACTGCAGCTGGATGGTGTTGCAGCTGGCCGTTACAACATGAACCACCTTCACACCGGACTCTCTAAGTCCTCGGCTCTGCACACACTGCCGCCTGGAGCTGTCTTTGCAGGCCAGCACATACCTGGACAGGTGCAGAGGGAGTTCAGGAGTTTGTTGTGAACAATGAGAGAGGGAGAGGGACAGACAGGGGCAGTGAGGGCCACACCTCAACAGGGGGTTCTCGATGATCTGAAGTTTGCGTTTAAATGTTTCCAGCTGGTCGTAGAGCTTCAGGCCCTCCACCATGGACACATTGTCTATCTCTGAGTCTGAGTCGGCGCTCAGTCCACCACGCAGCTCTGAAAACTGCTGGAAGCACTGGGAGCAGCTCTGCAGCAGGGACTGGTACTCTGCCACCAGACCAGCTGGGACTCTGTCTTCCAGGATGTCGTAGTAGCTGCAAGAGGACATCAGCATCAACTACAGTTGGGCAATAAATCAATAACTATATGTGGTCAATATCAACAGATAATACATCTTTTTACAATTTCACTGAACTCCAATCCTAAACCATACAGCATTCTGGGCAGAAGAAAGGCTAGGAAAGGCCAGCTAAGCAAAGTTGGTTGGTTAGTTGGATGGTTGGTTGGATGGATGGATGGACGGACAGACGGACGGACGGAAGGAAGGAAGGAAGGAAGGATGAAAGGAAAGAAGGAAGGAAGGAAAGAAGGAAGGGATCCATCCATCCATCCATCCATCCATCCATCCATCCATCCATCCATCCATCCATCCATCCATCCATCCATCCATCCATCCACTCACCCAGCAACAACTTGTTGATCAACATACATACACAGTAGCAGTTTCTTCTTTTGCCATGATGCCTCATAAAACTGAAAACTGTGGCTAAAACAAGAAAGGTCATATGGTTGCATATTTCAGATATTTAAAAAAGAAAACCAGTTATCTATTTTGACTGATATGGAATGGTTATATTGCAATGTGTTTTGCAGTCATATTGTCCAGTTTCACATTCCAGAAGTTCAAGTTCTGCTTACAGTCTGAGACGAGGCTCCACACAACGAACAAAGTAGTCAAAGTCATCGTTCTCATCTTCTTCATCCCACTGCCTCCAGATGTGTTTGTAAAAAAACCTGCAGACACAAGAAGACTCTCAGTATTGTTCTGCAGTACATCAGCCAGGTCCAATTCAGAGCATCCTACCTTAAATGCTCCAGAGTGAGCGCCGTCTGGTCAAATTCCCCTGAATCGTTGTAGAGCACCTGTAGCTCCAGCAGGGGGACTTTGTGCTGAGTCGCCTCCAGCAGAGAATTAAAGGATTCCTCTGTGATCTCACAGCTTCTGATTTCACACTGCAGAGGCAGCACCAGCTTCACACACGCCTTGAGGTCATTCAGGTCCAGATCTTGCACCTGAACTCGCCAACAGAATCCCACCAACATGACTGTTAGCAACAAATGCGATGGAGGTGAAGCCATCTAAATGAGCTACTCCTACCTCCACCACCACATCAAAGACATCAGTGCTCCACAGAGCCAACCAGTCACACGGCTCCAGTGCCTTGTCCAGGTAGTCTGCTGTGAATTCCTTCACCTCTGAGGGTTTACAGTCTCCTGGACACCAACAAACATGTGAATATTCCCAGAAACATGGCAGCCAGACTGTAATGGTGGCAGAGTTACCCAGCATGTAGTCCTGATACGCCTTAAACCTCTCATAGAACAGCAGGCTGCCAGTCTGGAAGGTGTCGGGCAGACTGGAGCTTCCTCCTCCGTGCTGCTCACGTCTCTGCAGCTGGGTCCCCGACTTCTCACTGCTGAAATGATCTGTCCCACTGTCGTCATCACTGTCCTCATTTAGACTCATAGCTGTGGAGGGCCAATCACATTCATTTCAATTTTATGTCATTCATTTTTTTTTATTCAATTTATTTATACTTTAAAAGGAGCATGTCACATGTACACAGGCAAAAGTTTTGAATGAAGAGTAGTTTGAAGAAAAAATATATAGTCTACCCCTTCTCTCAAAAGTCAATCAACCATCCATATCAATACATCTTTAATCTTTATAATCATCACTATGCTACCACAAAATATTGCCATAAGATTCTAAGTCTATATTTCTCACCCATATCAATATGACTTAAATTAATTGCAATTTGCTGGCTTGAACTTGCAAGCCAGTAAATTGGCTGGCTTGCAAGGCTAATTGCAAGCCAGCCAGTAGGAGCCCCTGTAGGAGTCCTACCCCTCTTTAAGAAGCTCCTAATCTTTCCAACACTGCCCTTCGGCTTATCATTACAATGCTCCTCAAATAAGATGTTTACAGTTGTTCTTACGAGCTTTGTAGCTCATATAATGAGCTCAGAAGATGTGCAGTTCCACCATGTGTTTGCTAATTGCTGCTGCAGCTAGTCTGGAGGAGCTGAGTGGGAAAAGTGTGGGGGTGTGCGCTCTGTGAAGCAGAAACTGGGCTGGGAGACTGCAGCTCCATGAAGGAGCTTTGTGGAAACGATTAGGCACCTCTAAATGGCTTCCAGGGGAAATTAGAGGATTTCTCAAACATGCTTGAAAGAATCAAAGCGGCAGTCCAAGTTCGTTTTTGATGAAGGAATAACATGATAAAAAGCTCAAATATAGTCAATTTGGCAATCCCCTACAATGTTAGAGGAGAAGACAGTTGAACTGCTTGTCCTCACAAACAACCAGAGCAGCCTGGACAGGTTGCTCAGAAACTGAGTCCTAAATGGCATGGGGGTGGGAGAAGAGGTACAGGAGGACAGAAACAACCTGCCAGGCAACATTACCGAATGGCAATAGATCACATGACACACAATAACCTGTGTAATCAATCATGCAAATGCTTCTGCTAGATTCCATATTTTCCCTTTGCTTTATTTATCTTCTGTTTATATATATATATATATATATATATATATATATATATATATATATATAATATATATATATATATATATATTGTACCTTTTACTTTTCACACATTTCTTGTCAAAGCTGTATTTGTATATTAGTTTCCTGCTGTTGGAAACTGAACTCCTCATAAGAACCTTAATGAGGGATTAAAAAAAGCTTTATCTAATCTAATCTTTCATCTTTAATGCAGAGGAAAGCATACGCAGGAGCTAATAAATACTGTCATTTCAAGGTAAACAGTTTAAATAAGGGTGGGCTTGTTGTCTTCTTACAGAAGTGCACAAAAACAATTTTAAAAAAAATCCTAATGAACTCCCTGTAGGACTTGGTAAAAAAAAAAAAAAAGTAATACGAGTTTCTTTAGTTTTACTATGAATGCAGTTTCCTCAAATGGATCTTCAGTGTGTGAAAAATAATTCCTCTGCTCTCTGTGAAAACCCACTAATATTTTTTCTTCAACCTGTGGACACAGCTGTGTTCTGATTCTTATTGGAGACAGATTCTGAGTTCATAACATAAAGCACCAGGACCACAGGGACCAGGACAAGGCTGTTCTAGTGACAGAGGCATTTTGAGTGTAATGTCCTTATAGTCAGTCAATATAATGCCAAGTGAATCAGGTCAAGTCTCAAAGATACAAACATATCAAAGACTAATTTAACCGTCAATACACGATAAGTTGACTCAGTCATTATTCCAGGTAACATGACCGAATCTATCTAACTGCTATTAGCTTAGCACTCCTCGCCTTTAGTCATTTTTACAGCAGAGGGTTGTACCTAAATGAGTGTCTGAAAGAAATAGTGGAAGTTTTCCACAGACCTTGGGTTATATCCAACAGGCTGCGCCTCACTCCAGGAAGACCTTCCTCTTCAGCTTTAACGGCAGAGTGCAAATCAACCACCACCATGTCCGACATGTCACTGACTATACAAGCCGTTTCTTTGTTTTCCTGCTCCATGGATACGCTAAAAACCTGTCTAATACAGTTCTAAACGGTGTCCAAATCTTTCCTGATTTACAAATACTAAATTTCCAGTCGCATCCACCCTGCAGCTTTCAAAATATCCCGGTTCGCTTTCTCTCTGCCAATCCGGAGCCTGAGCCAATCGTAACTCATGACACTGAGCATGCGCACAATGCTCTCTTATGAATGCACATTTCTTCTCCATTTAAAAAAAGGAACACACACACAAAAAAGAAAAATATATATTAAAAAATTTGGGTTACACTAAGAAACACATAATATTATTAAAATGTTTTATAACGTTAAAATAACCCGGAAGTTGCTCTCCAAAGGTGTCGAATGTTTGAAATCACGTGTTTCCGGTGGCTCTATTTTCCTTACTGGTTTGATGTGGCGAGCGGGTTGTGAATGTTTGCCTCTTCTCTGACTGCTGATCTTACAGCCTGCAGTCAGGTAAAATGCTGCAAAATCATTTTATGGTCTTGTAAGAATCAAGGTTTGGATTCTGTGAGTCCACACGGGTGAGGATAAGACGCTAAATGTGTTAGCATTAGTATGTTAGCTGTACTCCCCCCACAATGAACTGGATTGTAGCAGTAGCTGTATACACAGCGGTTGTTTATTTTGGTCCAGCATACGGACTGTGCTTAAACTGTGATTATTAAACAGTGTAGCAATGATATATGTGTGTCAACTCTGTATTGACTGTATGGAAGAATCTGACATATCAGAGTTGAGAGAAAAACAGCCTTTAGGTTCTTCTTCTTATTATTTTTGCCTCTTAGCGTTTCAATTACAGAAATATGTTAGAACTAAACTGCTTTTAAGAAGAACTAATTTGTGGACTAATACAAAAACTCCATATTTAAAAATTAACGTTCTGAAACTACCTATTTTAAAGAGATTAGAATTAATATTTGTTCTATGTTTGGCCCATAAAAGTTTGCTGTTGACATAAAATGGACCACTGATGAAAAAGTACAGTACATGCTTTTATTTATCAGCTGTTTTAACTCTCTCTCCTGTCCCGTCAGGTTTCTTGTTCAGTCAGGTCTCAGTGATGTTATGAAGATGTCTGATCACAGAAACATAAGAGATGACAAGGATGATGATGTGTTAGAGCTTTCAGCCAGCGATGAATCTGAGCCTGAAGAAGCACCAAGAGAACCTCCGTTTGACCCAGAGCTGGATCAAAGTGATGAAGACGGAGAAGTGATTACCTCTGTTTCACCTTCTGCTCCTGCAACGCAGAGTTCTTTCAGCCTGAGTGGAGCGAGTTCAGGCTTCTCATTCCGCAGCCGCAGCATCTTTGACTGCCTGGACAGTGTAGAGAAGCGTTCTGTCACCCTGCAGAACCAAGGGAACTCAACAGAAAGCAGAAAGACGAGTCACCCTCCTTCCACATCTCCTATACCACAGAAGAAGAGGGGAGTCCCAGATTATCTGGTGCACCCCGAGCGATGGACACGCTACAGCCTGGAGGATGTAGTGGAGAGCACCGATCAAGATAACAGGAGAGCAGCTCACCAGTTCCTGTCTGGTCTGCATCAGGAGACAAAAATTGGTCCTCGCTGTGACGTCCAGGAGAGGATGATCTTCTCTAGACCAAAGCAGCTCTCAAAAGATCAGGTGGTTGTGCAGCTGGAACCTGATTTGCAGGGAAAGGAGAGAGAGTTACAGCTGAGTCACCTGGCTGAGGAGGATGAGGATAATGAAGGCAGAGAAAGAGTAGAGGTTGGAGATACAACAGAAAAATCAAAACAAGAAAAGAAAAATAAAGAGAAAAGCATGGGTGAACCTGTGGCTCTGGAAGAGGAGAAGTTAGATAAGTCCAAAGTTAACTTCACCTCCTTCAGGAAGACCACAGCAAAGAACTACAGAAGAAATTCTGGAGAAAAAGAGGACTGACTTCTGAATTGATGCAATACTAAAGGATGTCTGACCTGTCAGACAGCAGTACTCCTTCTGCACAGAACTTCTATTTCATTCATTTCTTGGGTGGGGCATGCAGAATCCTCATTTCTTGTTTTTACAAATGAAGTTTTAAGCATCTGTAATTGGTGTAGTGTAATTCTGCCCTGATTTGACCTGTCCTTGTCCTAGTACTTAGAAAGAGATTTAAAATGTTTTTTGTTTTGTTTTTATTTTTTTTTCAAAGTAGAATACAAATTCCATAATCCTCAAGCTGTCTTTTAAAAAGAAAATCTGTTTAGTGTACAACTTGTTCAATTTTGAGAATAAAAAAAAACAAGTGTCTCAAATGGAGTCCAGATTTAGTAGAATGGTGTGAAAACACTGCAGTTAAGATCACATAGAATGTCAGGAATCAACACCAGAACTGATGCCAGATGTAGTTTACAGCCATATTGTCTCACAGCTTTTACAAATCATTCACATCTTCTGTCAGCGTATGAGCTTTTTTCCCGCAGATTAGCCATTTTCCAGTGAAAATGTTTGAGAGGCTTCTAAAATGCTCAGTTATCTGATAGTTATCAGCTTATCATCGGTGTAGCTAGGTAACTTAAGAACTACTTCATTCTTTACTTCAAAATTAGAGTCTTAAGTCCTAATTTTACAAGATGAAATTGCACCAACAGTCCTTCGACAGGTTACCTCAATATTGCAACATCATAAGTGAGTTCTCTGATTCTTCCTGCAGCAATAGTGGTAAAACAGGTTTGGTTATTATTAGTGTTACAAGGCATTTATTTACTGAACTCCCTCTCAAGGGGGAGACAGATACCCAACACCCAGGATGTGCTTCTCTCAACACATTCCTTTTAAATGTCCACCTGATACTCCACCAAAAACGCTTGCAGAGATACAGACGTGAGTGTGAAGACGAATAGAAGTGAGGATGAATACAAGATTAATACATATATATATAAATAATTATATTGATCAAAATTACAAGAAACATTTCAATGTATGAGTAATGGACACTTTCTGAAAATGGTAACTACTAAAACAGACAAAATATTTAAATTTCTAGAGATACATCTGCATGTCAAGACCGTTTCAAATTCAAAACTGAGATGGAATGATACCAAGAACGAGGTTCTAGACCAATCACTGCTGGTTCTGGAGAGTAAAGTCTCAGTGCATCATGTTGTCTGAAAAGTTACTGCGGGCGGCACAATTGAAGCCGTTTTTTTTCAGAAACTTTCAATATTCTATGCCAGATCTTTTAGAATTGGTTTGGTCTTGTAATTATTGTTCAGTCTACCTTAGATTTCTTCAAAAGTGGTTTGATCACTGCAGTTTTTAGGGCAGCTGGAAACAAATTCATAAAGGAGGGTAAATATCTGCAATCTGGTCAACAAAGTTGAGGAAAAATGGTGTGTAAGAAACTTATTGTGGTAATTTATTTTTATTCTACTGTTACAAAGAATCTCCTAAGGGGAACTTTGTTCAAGCTTTCCTTATTTGTTAACATTTCCATATAAAAATCAAGACAAAAGTTTCAATATAGATACATAATCTATAGGGTGAAGAGGACTTCAGTGTCAGAATGCTGTGTTCAACAATGTATCAGTTTCTGTCTAATGTCATTGGGACTTATATCACTTCCCTTTTCCTTATTTGTTGAATTTATTGCAGAAGCTGTAAAAGTGGGATATTCTGCTCTTGACAGTCCAGGATCTGCCTCAGAGTAAACATTTGCTGAAAGAGCTTTTAAAGTGACATATTTATTTTAAACTGTAATTATTCATAAAGCTAGTCTAGGAATAATGTCGTGATTAGTCTGTATAAAGGCTTGTAGCCTGCTGTGTTGTGATCAAGAAGCTAAACTCAAGTACACAGTGCAGTGTTCTGGCTTTCTGGTATCACACATAATTCGAAACCACCTCATGCTTAATGTTAAACATACCTCTAAATGAATCATCAGCCTGGGATCTGATCCCCTCAGCGATCTACCTGATTTTAAATGTAAATGCTGGTTACCTGTTTCCCTAGTACACCAGCTGCGCTCCAACACCGCATCTTCCTTATATGGGCAAGCGAAAGAGAGCGCAGCGCCATACTTTCGGGACAACATGCCCCGGCTACACATGGATAAGCGGACGTTAGCATTGAAGAGCCTTTCATTGCATGTTGTTGCCCTGATTGAATTTATAGTGGACACACTACTGAGAAGCTCAAGGTCTCTGACTCAGAAAAAATTTTTTTTGAAGTATAATTGATGTCAAAAATTTCACAGATTACAAACTGGATGTCAAATATTCAGCTTTTAGTGTGGAATAATCTGATTTGTAGAGTCTAAATATTGAAATTTTTAGATTAGAACAGATTAAAGAGGCTCAATTAGGTGG